CAAGAAGTGAATAAAATCAGTTAATAGTGTTAAGTCTAATTATTAATGTAAATGATTATTAAAAACTGAATGACAAAAATATAAAAAGATACATGCTGAAGTCTTCAGCATTGTGTGAATACTTTGTTAAGAGTTTTTAGATAAAAGTAGATCTAGAACTTGTGGACATTGATTGACACATGTGTGTGAATTTCTGTGTGGGTGTGTAATAAAGTTGAATGATAATCTGATGGAATGGTAAATATAGAAGAGAATTTGGAAAATTTCTACCTTGACATGTTTAGCCAATGAACTGACATCACAAAAACAAAATGTATGTTAGCAAGAGAAAATATAATTCAGGATAAGCAGCAGATGGCTTGATTTTGACTGTAAATATATCTTTATAGAAATTAGATTTTAACTAATTACAACATTGAAAAGGATGGAGAGGGGAGACATGCTGCATGGGCAACTGCTATCTATCATAAAAAAAAACCTGCTTCAACCTGCACACTTCAGGAGTAGATCCATGGACTCTTGAGAGTGACAGATGACAATACATAAAATGTATATGATTTATCACAGAATTAAGTGCATTAACAAGGAAGGAGACTTAAAAAAGTATTAACTTTTACAAGAATTGTAACATTATAGAAATTAAATTTTAACTACCGTATTTGACGGCATATAAGGTGCACTTTTTCTTACTAAAAATATCTTTTAAAATTCCTCTGTCATACGTAGGTTTACTAATTTTACTAATTGCTAATTTTTTCTTGATTTGCCCGGCTGAATTGATGCATCTTATACACCTGTGCATCTTATATGGCGTCAAATATGGTAATTACAATATTGAAAAAGGATGGAGATTATACTGACAAATAAATATTTGTTGTATAGAATACATGGTTTGTTTATTGTAAGGCTATGGATTTATTGATATGCCAACATATATAAACTAGGAAAGAGATATAGCAGTTTTATAATTATGTTTCTTCAAATAAATACATTATCATAGTTTATTCTTAAGTTCCAAAGACGCACTGGAATGATTGCAAAAATGTAAAAAGAAAAAAAGGTATTTACTACAATTACTGAAATTAAAGAAACCTGTCAAATTAATAAAAATAAATTCTTGTCATAATTGATAGTGTAATGTAATTTATCAGTGCATAGAGGAAATATGAATTTAGAAATATTTGATGACTTACCAAAATAAGAAAAGAAAATAAGCTTTTAAAATTTTACCTTAAGCAGTTAATAGCAGGTATAAAATCAAGAGAAATAAGATAGAAGAAATGCCAGTCAAAATTTTATAATAATTGACAATGCTACATGTAAGAACTTAACAATCCTACATGTAAGAACTTAAGATTATTACTATGAGGTGAAAAACAAGAGAAATAAGAGGAAAGAAGTACTTCATAAATGAACCAAAAATGTGGACAGTTCTTTCATAATTTCAATCAAGAATTACCAAAATTATTTATATCATTGGAACAATTTGTCTATTTAATAAAACACACACACATATATACAGCTTAAACTTTGCTATTTATGAGGGAAGAATGTTCATTATAATGGATAGAGCAGATGGAGATCTAAATAGTGTGGATACTGAAATCAACACAGTATGGTGACTAACAGTTTCATGTCTAAAGCAATCATCAGATCATATGTTCTGATGATCCCTTAAGGTACAAAACTGATGGTCACCATTCAGTAATATTTATTCTCAGAGTCCTAAGAATTTGCAGCCTTGAATATCTACTTGATGGAAAAAAATAAATAAATTGAAAAGATTTTTAGAATCTTCCATTATTCTAGGTATTTCATATACAATGTCAAAAAAATAAAACAAAGAAAGAAAAATAAAGTATAAACAACTACCTCCCCCCACAAAAAAACCTAGGCTCATTATTTGTTTCAATTTCTTGGATGCTGAGTCAGTATTATTTACATTGTTTACATGCAGACTAATGTCTTCATCTCTTTTGTCATTATCACATTTCGGCCATTGTGCCTCTCAGTCATCTTCAGCTAACTGTCAATCCAGGTAATCTTTAGGAATTTCGAACTGAACTCTTTATTTAATCTACTGGGTTAGATTATACTTGTTTCACTCTCCATTCTATGCTGACAGTTTCTTTTCTCACACTTCTCGCTTGTGGAACTCCCTTCTGGCTCCATGTTTTCCAGCTACCTTCAATCTGCAAAAATTTAAATGCAATGTCAATCACCATCTACTGTTCTCTTTCCACCAAAACTTAGGGATTAAACTCATAATTACTATGCCATAAAATTCATTGTATTGTCCTATGGGATAATCCTGAACTTAGAACTTGGGGTCTTAAACCTAATGTTGTTCTTGCCTGCCTGCTGTTGCTGTCACACTTGATTGCCTTTGCTACCACTTCTCTTTTCTTACTGCTGCTAAAGCTTTGCTATTATTTTTCTTTCTTTATTAATTTTTTTCCATATGGTATTTTTTCTGTGCCAGGCCTACTGAGGAATCCCCCATAGAGTAACCAATGTGCTGATTTCTTCAGACATCTGATTCTCTCGTGATCCTTCAGAATAACAACTATGCTGCAAATGTAACATCATCTTCTGCAGGCAGAAATAGAAGAGTTGAGGACGAGGAGGAGGAGGAGGAGGAGGGTTGGAAAACTGAGATGATCTGTCTCACCTATGTCAAGGGCTTGTCAGAAAAGTTACATCAGGAAAATATTCAGAAGCAGTACAACCTTACAAAGAAATCTTTGCTAAAATTAAGCTCAACACAGAGGGGAACATGACTAAGAACTGTATGTATTCTATCACTTGCAGTTGTGGCAAAGAATACTGAAGTGAAGCTAGCTGGTCTCTAAAAGTAAGACTGGAGAAACATCAAAAAGCCATATTACAATTGAGACAATGAAATCTGGCATGGCTGGTTATGTATGGAGGGAAAAGGGTAATCCCCAACCCCTTTGAAATTAAGTAAAAATATAAAACAAAAGAATGCTGGAGAATCAGATGTCTAGAGGAATCAGTACATATGCTAGTCTATGAAAGATTTCTCAGTGGTCCAGCATAGAAATAAATACTATATAGGAGCCATTAATAAAGAAAGAGAAATAACAGAAAAACTGCAACAGCAGCAGTAAAGAATAAGAAGTGACAGTGAAGGAGGTCAAATATGGCAGCAGTAAGCAGGCAAGAAAAACATTAGGTTTAAGACCCCAAGTTCTAAGTTCAGAATTGTCAGATGGGACAATGGCCAAGTAGATTAATGCATTGGTTTGTGAATCTGGTGGCATATTAATTGTGAGTTCCATCCCATCCTTAGACTGAGTAGAAACAGCACAATTAGTAACAGAGCAGTACTAAATTGGAATAAGATGAGATATAGACAATGGAATGAAAACTGTCTAACCTCATAGATTAAATAAACTGTTCATTTCAAAATTCCCAAAGTTTACCTGGATTGACAGATACCTGAAGAAGGCCAGAGAGTATAACAGCTGAAACGTTATAATAACAACAAATGATGACATTAGTCTGAATAATTGGCTCATTATTCTGATTATAAACTCTATAACAACTAAACTTGAAAAAAAATTAGTTAATTTCTAATATAAGAATTATCACAAACATTTGAAAATTTAATAATAAAAAAAGAGAGTAGGAGTCTACCATATCGAATGTAAACAAGGACCCCAAATACACATCAGTGGAATGTAACAAAATTTTAAAAGAGAATTAATTGTTGTCCTTCATGTCTGAAGAAAACTTTGTCTTGTAATTCCTCAGTGGATCTGGATGAATTTTGAAAACAGACTTGTGCTGAAAGAATTTGATGTGGAAAATTGTTGCACTGGGATAATTCCACTTTCTTGGTCTGGGGAGTCTTTATCCAGTGGTATGAAAAATAATTACAATCAGAGACTTTCAGGCTACAATAAATGACCAGGATTTCTACATATCACATCCATGTTCTAATGTCCTCCATGGCACTTGCTGAAATCACCTTCATGGCTGTTGGATCTGTAGATCTCATCTGTCCACTCTGCCAGAAATCAGTCTTTATATGCAATAGGGCTGACAGACCCAAAATTATTGAGGATTTGGCCCCATTGACTACCATCACCTGGTTTGTCTGCCAATCAAGCTGGTAAAGAAATAATATTTGAATATAAAAAGGACTTAAAATTAAACAGCACACTTAGTGAACTTGTATGCCACCAAAATCTTTGGGATCACAATTTTGATTCGGAAAATGCTGTTTTAATAAAAAAGTGAATATAATTTACTACAAAATGCATTGAATGTGTCATGATCTGTCAGTCTGATATGATTAATAATGCAACTGAGCTATTTCAATTTAACCTCTGTTTTTGCTGAATTAGTACTGGAACAATGAACCGTGAAAAAAATCATGTAGGAATCCAATTTCTATAACAATACTATTAAAGCAAAAATCAAACATTCAGCTACTTAATGTGAATGCCATTTCTTTGTGATAATGTGAATCCCATTTCTTCATGATAATGTAAATTTTGTTCTTGCAAAATTCTTTTTCTGATGATATCAGATTAGCGAAACACGTCAAGGTAAATATCTTTCCAAATTGTCTTTTACTGACAATAAGTTCAATAATAAGTAAAGTTCGTTATATATTTTTGATACAAAAGCCTTTCCTGTACAAAATGGTGCAATATAATCTTTTGTAAATTTGTTATCTATATCAAGACATGAACATATTAAGAACTTTGCTGAAGTTGTTATTTATTATTATTCAGTTATTATTTGAATACCAAAGAAAAAAATCCAAGCAACCAATGGTTAAACTTGTATGCATGTTTGTTCTATTAAATTGTCTTTAATTTCATCTAAAGTATTAAAACTGTGCGTGTGAAAATAGAATTTTGATTTGGGATCACTGGCAATTGCTTTCACTTCTCTATGGTCAATGTCATCTCCAACTGCAATAGTAAAGATTTGAATGTCAGCACGATGACATGCCTTTGCAGCTTCTAGGGTTGCTTCTTTCTTCTGAGAGTTACCATCTGTTAAAAGAATAGCCACATGTTTCACATTGGGTCTTGAACCATGTTCTTCTTTGAACATAGTGGATAATAATGTTCTAAGAGCATTTCCTGTGTTGGTCATTCCAGCGTTCTCACGGGAAATGGCTTCAATTCTTTTCTTAAGATTTGCCTTGTCTTTATTTGCATCCAAAGTAACTTTGACCTGAGTATAGTTACTAAATATTTCAACACCAACTCGAACCTACAATGAAGAATAAAATTATATTATCAATTATACGGGAACTATAATAATAACTAACAATAAATTGTTGGTCCAGTGAAAATTATAGTGCAATTATAAAATTACTTAAATATGTCATTTTTGATGACAGAAGTAAACTAGTGAAGTCATATTTGTTGATTTATCAAGCCAAGGAATGATATTGACAGATGATATGTACAGATGAATGAAGGAGGAATGATATTGACAGATGATATGTACAGATTAATGAAGAAGGAATGATATTTATAGATGTTATTGAGAGATTAATGAAGGAGGGATGATATTGACAGATGATATTTAGAGATTAATGAAGGAGAGATGATATTGAGAGATTAATGAAGGAGGAATGATATTGACAGATGATATTTAGAGATTAATGAAGGAGAGATGATATTTAGAGATTAATGAAGGAGAGATGATATTGAAAGATTAATGAAGGAGGAATGATATTGACAGATGATATGTACAGATTAATGAAGAAGGAATGATATTTACAGATGATATTGACAGATTAATGAAGGAGGAATGATATTGATAGATGATATTGACAGATTAATGAAGGAAGAAAAGGGATCATCAAGGTTGTATATTTATATATGCACAAACCTGCATTTTCCCACTAGAATGAAGAAAATGCAAGAAAAGTTTTTAATGTTTTATAAATACAATGCAAATATAAAATGACATAAAAAATGTCAAATATTATTTTTGATGATATAGGTAAAAAAATATAGATATTAGAGCAAAATGACTGAAAAAGGAATCCCAAAATATTAGGATCTCACCTGTGAACTGAAAAAAAAAAATAATGAATCAACGATTCATGGAAAAACTGAGATTGTTAGTAGTGCTGTGGTCTGCAAAAAAATATAGCATCTATATATAAAATTCTGTGATTTCCGTTAGTCTGTCCATCCATCACACACTCTAAAATAGCCCTAAATTGACTGATTGAAACCAAATTTTTGTGGGAGAAGTGTAAACAGATAAGGAGGTACAAAGTGCATTTGGTTTTACTAGGGTGCATAGATTAGTACAATAAATTTTCATTCATTTTTTTTGAAAAATTAAATGTTTTATTATTTAACATACAAAATACTCCTACAATTTTAAAAACAATCATTAAAATAACAAATAATTCTATATAATAAATGCCAATATCAGTGTTACACTCTTTTAATTAAAGGGACACACCTCTCAATAGCTCATCTTCTATATAATAAATGTGAATGTCAGTGTGTCACACTTTTTCCACTTTGCTCCTAGAGGCTGTAGCCTAATATATCATACCATTTTGGAATCAGGCAAACTCCATGAACAAATTAAAGATATTCGAAGCTGGATCCAGACCTGCAATCCTGAAATTTTGGATTCCCAAGTTTTCATTACTGTGATTGTTTTTGGCGATTCCATTACATGATTTTTTGCAACAAATTTTTTTGTATGATAATTTTTATAACTTGGAAATAAATTTTAAAAAGTAAGCTTAAATATTAATACAATACTTAAATGCAGCAATCAGTTTTGAGTTCTTCCATAGTTTATTGTTGCCTATCACTCCTACTCATCCCTACCTATTGTGATGAAAGACTAATCAACAGCCCTCTGCAGGAGCTAGTATTTAATAAAAATGAAATATTGTTTTTTACATATCTTTTATGTTTTTATATATACAAGAATCCAGTTTCCGCTTTGCCCTGTGTTTGTGAGAACGATAAACAAATTACAATCATGATTTAAAAAGTTGGAATTTGGCTCTAGAAAGGAATATTTACATATGGCCAGTTGAAACTGAATGTAATGTAGAGTTTGTAAATCTTGACAAAAAATGTTAGCAATAACTTCAACAATACTAAGTATTTTGAGGATTGGTGTAATATAAAATATTCCACACTCCCTATTACCTATGTGAACTGACTATATCAGTAGATATATATAGTAAACACAGGATATACCTGGCTGACTTGCTTCAGGAATAACTAGCCTACTAACCGATTCCATCTTTTAGTAGCGTATTCTCTTTTACAATAAAGCTCTCTTTCTTTTATCTGTGTTGCTGTTCCTTTCACTCGAGTACCACCTTTGTCTGTTTGTAACCTTCTTTAAGGATACACCAAGGATTTTAACACATGTCAGCATGTTGCAAAAAAATTCTAGTGATGAAAATTTAGGGAGATTTGCTGTTACTCAATCTCCAGGGGTGACCACTAGATATTTGGCATGATCAAACAAATGCACGGAATCTAATAAAAATAAATATCATTTAAACTGTTTGAACTCTTGCCCATATTCACATTTTGGCCATGGTATGCTCTGGCCTTCTTCAGGTGATTGGGATTTTGAACTGAACCCTTTATTTTGTCAACCAGGGTAGATTGTTCTAGTTCCATGGGCCATGCCTCTTCCAGATATCTCAGTATTAGTTATCTCTCTTTAACTCAACTCTCCAAGTTTTTGTTCACCTCTGCTGTAGCCAGGTATTGAACACTCAATTCTTTGGGCCAAATCACTGGATTCAACTAACACTTTTAACCACTGGGCCATGTGTCCTTGAGGACAGTTGGTTTTACTAGAGTGCATAAATAAACTTAAACATATATTTTTCTTATATAAGTCAGTTAATACATTACAACTAATTTGATTGGGTTTTTGGTTCCTTCTAAAATATACTTCAAATCTATACTTCTAATGTCTCTGCCTGAACTCTGAAATTTTATTCACTAATTATTTTTTTTTTCTCCTCAATAGTAGACAGATTCACACTCCTCCCAGATCTTTTGAACAGGTGTAAAAGTTTATCCCCCGTTCCTTGTTTGATTGGGTTTCTGGTTTGAGATACAGGCAATTGTCAGTTCTATTATAATATTTTAATTTCTCACACTTCTCATCTGTGGAACTCCCTTCTGATTTCTTGCTTCCCTGTCAACTAGAATTTTCAAAAATTTAAATGCAACATCAAATGACACTATTTACATTATTCAGACTATTGTCCTCATCTTTGTCACCATATTCATCATAACATTTTGGCCTTCTTCATGTGGTTGGAATGTCAAACTGAACCCTTCACTTTGCTCACTGGGGTAGACTGTTCTAATTCTATGTGCCATGTCTAATGTATGTCAGTTATCAGTTATCTCCTGTTAATTCCCCTCTCCAAGTTTCCCACTGACTTAACCAGGTATTGAACTCACAACTCTTTGGGTCCTGTCACTGGATCTAGCAAACACCTTTATCCACTGTGCCATGTGTCCTTAAGAACATCTGTGTATGAATTTCTGGGACTTATAAACTTAATGTCTTCAGCAACCATTTTTTAACAGTGCTCATATTGCAATTTTTGTTGTTATTATTGTTTTTTTCTGGCACTCCTTATTACTGTTTCCCATATTGTATTCATTTCTATGCTTGGTTGGCTCAAGAGGTTTTTGTGGCCAAGTATATCTGCTGATTCCTTAAGTTTAAAAATTTTCCAATGATGTTCTTTGTCTATGATTTTAACTTGATCCCACAGAGGGTGGTGATCCCCCTTTTCTCTCTATATATAGTCAGCCACGCCTGATTTTTCCACTTCCCCTTCTGTTACAATTTTTTGGTGTTCTTGAAGCATTACCTTAAGGTGGCAGCCTGTCTCCCCTTTATATTTCTTTCTGCAGCTGCATGGGATGGCGTACACATAGTCTTTAGTCATGTTCTTCTCTATGGGGGGGTCTTACTCGGGAGAGGTATCTGCAAAGTGTCGTCCTGCTTTTGAAGGTTGTCCTGATGTTGTATGGACTGCAGATCCTTTGTATTTTCTATGATAACCCTTTCACATAAGGCAGGCAGACTGTTTTCTTAGTGTTGTTGTCCTACTCTTGTATCTGCCTATCCCAGTTTATTGGGGCTGCTGCCATGTACCCAGGGTAGTCAAAGAACCTAGATCAAGAATAACTGATCAACAGGTGCCTTTTTTTTTATATTTTTGTTAAGAGACTAAAAAATTTATTTTGTCAAACACTTAATAGAAAAATAAGAAAGTTAAATTCATTTGCTGATCACCTAATGAGGATCAGAATCACTATAATTATAGAAACAGAGCCAGCTCACTAAAAATTAAATCAACAATGAGATAAAAACTGAAGCCTTAAGCATAAAACAAGCAACCTACAAACTGCTGGAGACTCAAACTTAGAATTAACCCAAGGTTTATTACAATACAACAGGATCCTTCATTGTTGCTGTATCTCCAGTTTCCAACCAGGTTGATCAATGGATTTGCACTGAACATGGCTTAAATTTGTAAAAGGATGTCATGAATAAAGAAAAAAATTGTAAAAAAATTAAATTATTTTGAAGTTGATGTTTTTGTCACCACATAAGATAAGAAAAGAAAAAAATGCTATTTTTAGGTGAGGAATGGCTGATAAAACATTGGTTTTCAAAAAGAGTTCATCTATTATCTGATCTTGGGGTTTTCCTGATGAAAATGGAAAACAACCAGCTGTTCACTATAGATTAATAAATAAACACAGGTATCAATATATCCAGGACAATGGTCAGATATAGCAGATTGTCTTCTGTGTTTCTACAAGTGCATGTCACCCATTGGTGTGGTAAACTAATCCTTCAACTTTGGTATGAATTAAACTCCTATGAGAATAGAATCAATACCCTTTTGATGTTGCTGGACTTATTAGATATGATCCTTCACTTCTAGTTGATAAGCCAAATCCTTGAAGAATTCTCAGTAGAAATTTCACAATTGATTAATCTTGCTTGGTCTTCTCTACTCCTCTGGTTGATACTGTTATACTCCATTGCAATTAGATCTCTTTCTGATGCATTCTGCATGTTGGCTGGATGTCAATGCCGTGAAGGCATGGGGCAAAATAAAAAAGTCGTTCTCTGTGCATAGGCTCCGAGCATCATATCTAGTCTACAAAGCAATCTCCCGGTACTGAAAAGCTGATTCATGCTGGAAAAGGAGATGCCTCTGGAGA